CAGCAGGAGTAGATGCCAGTGCTGGCAGCGGGCGTTGGATCCCATTGGTGCCCCAAGGGGCTGGTCCCAGCAGGGCAGACCCCAGGGGCTCACTAGGAGGGGAGTGGAAAACAGCAGAGCTTGGCCTGAGCCCAGCAGTGATGTCTCTCCCCAGCACCTTCCACTTCACCTCGGGCAAATGGGCTTTTACTCGCTGACCTTCTTTTGGCTGTGTTTTTCAGGTGCCTCCAGTGGAATGAAGGAAGAAATGAACGACCTGAAGAGCAGAGTGGAAGCGCTGGAGCAGGTGAGCTCTCTTCCCTGCTGCAGCTGGAGGCCTCTCAGCCAGCTCCCACCCCGGGGCTGTTTGCAGCCGGGGTTTCCCTCTGCCCCAGCTCTGTTTTTCCTGCCGTGCTGGCCGCAGGGATCCCAGCTGTGCTCCGTGCTGCCGGCAGCGCCCACGCAGCAGCTCCTCAGCCCAGCGGCTCTTTGAACGCCACCAGAGCCCCCGGGAGCTGGTGAGAGGGTGCACCCCGGCAGGGGCAGGGTGCTGCATCCCGCCGGGTGCTCCTCACGGCTCCCCTTCTCCCGGCAGAAGCTGCAGCTGGTGCTGGCCCCTTTCCACAACCTCATGCCCTCCGCGCCGGAGGACGTCGGCGCCGACCCCATCAGCCGCCTGTCCCACTCCCTGCAGCAGCTGGACAGGATCGACTCCCTGAGCGAGCAGATCTCCTTCCTGGAGGAGAGGCTGGAGACGTGTAAGTGCCTGGAAGCAGCAGGGCTGGAGCATCTCGCTTCACCCACGCTGGCCACAGGGAGCAGATGTGGGCCAGCGAGATCAGTGACACGTATGCCACTATTCATCTGCATCTCCCTCAAGCTCGGCAGCCTGTAATTAATAAAAGATGAACACAAACAGCCCATTAGCTTAATTTCAAAGCTGTTTCTAGGGCTACACCATCCGACTGCTCTTGTAGCAGCCAGAACCCGTAAGATGGGCCCGTGGAGACGTGGCTCTGGGGTAGAAGCAGGAGCCCACTGTGGGCAGTGAGTCACGTCTCAAGCAGCACCCTCACTGGCTGTGCTCCCTTCCTGCACCGTTGTAACTTAGCCCCTGGAAAAGAAACCTTAGGGGAGAAACCTCTTAGGAAATTAACAGTCCAACAAGTCAATCAGGAGAGTTTAGGGAGCGTGCAGGAGCTGGCAGATTTACGAGCCTGGGAAGATTTAGGCATTTCTTTTTGAAGTCTACAGACCAAGCAGTGGACTAGACAGGGCCTCCTCAGGAGCAGACCCTGAGGAAGAGATGCTGGTGAGAGCTGTCATGTGTGAAATGGCTGAAGGCAGGGGGGGTCCTGCCTGCTGTGTGTCCCCTCAGGCCCCTGAGGTGTGTGCAGAGCTCCAGGGAGAGCTCTGCAGCTTGACCCAGCCCACCACGAACTGTATGAACACTTTATTTTGCTAGGCAGCTCTTTACAGCTCCTTTTCCCATTAAATAATTCCAAACCCACCCAGAACCAAGGCCTGGCTGGGCAGGCTCAGGAGCCTGGTGTGCAGCAGCAGCCTGGTGCCCATGGCAGAGGGGTGAGGGTGCTTGGAAGCAGTAAATGGTGTTTCAGGGCATTTCCAGTCCCAGTTCACTGCCTGCAGTAATGGCTTAGATATAAAAAGACTTCAAAGAATTTGTTGGAAGACCAAGTGGCTGCAAATAGACACTTAAAAAACATCTCAGAAAGGGGCAGTCACCAGAACCACTGAGTGTTCCAGCAGATGAGTTTCCTGGTATTGCCCTGTGCATATTATTAGTGACAGCACGGAGGAATGTGAGCAGCATCACAAGGTAACGTGGATTTATTCCAAGGGATGACTCTGAAGGCCTGAAATTAACTTCTGCCAAGCCTCTTCCGGCAACCAAAAGTTGTTTTTGTCCCTCTCATGGTCTTGAAAGTCCCTGAAGGACACAAGACTGTCTGTGAGTCCTCCAGCAAGCCCTGGGGCTTGCAGGGAATCCCACAGGGAGTTAAGTTGCCTTTTTTTCTGTGCAAAGCATTTCACAACTAAAGGCTAAGATACAACTGCACCCTCCAGGTACCTGCCCAGGGGGGGTGTGTGTAAGGACTGGAAAAGGTGCCTTCACTGGTGGGTTAAAGAGGAGAAAACCAGGTTGGATCTGTTTAAGCCAGGGCCAGTTTACCCCCTCAGAGTTACCCCCCCTGGCCATGCTGGGCTGAGACAGGGGGTGAAGCAGCAGGACAGACTCAGCCGTGCTGAGTGCCTGGTGAGCAGCAGTGCCTGTCCCCAGTGACTGTCCCACTGTGGTGGGGACGGGCTGGTCCCAGCCTCCTGTCCTGGCACAGCCAGTGGTCTTGTCCCTGGCTCTCCTCAGGACTTGCTGGGCAAGGGCTGGGGGGTTCCAGGGAGCTGAGAGTGATGGTCCCAAATGAGGTGGGACAGAGCCAGCCTGGGGTTGTTTGGGAAAGGGAGAGCAGTGAGTGGGGGTGACATTCGCAGAGGTTGAGGTGAACCTCAGCCTTCCTGGGGACAGAGATGAACCAAACCCAGGCTGACAACATCACTGGATTGATTTTTTTTGGCATGTGTTTTTTTCTTTTTCCCCATCTTCCCAGGTTCTTGCAAGAATGAACTCTAGAGACTGCCTGAGGAACTGGAGCAAGCCGAGTGCATCTGCAGCAGCTCTTATCTCACTCTCCAGCCCCAGGCTGGGGATGAAGCCACATCATCTACAGGAAGGCACAGGGTAGCAGAAGGCTGATTTCCCATCAGCATCTCCAGCGTTTTCTCTTCCAACTCACCTCACCACAGGTCACAGAGTTACTTCCAACCTGGACTCTGAGCTCTCAGCATCTCACCCCCTTCCTGCTGGAGAGGCAGAAAATAAAGTGCCTTCCCTCATGCCCTTAATGCCCATCTGGCTGTGCCAGAGACTGGCCCTACGTGAAGCCCTGTGGTGCTTGGCTGTGTCTGGCTCTTTCTTACCATTACCCTGTGACATCTCCCAGGAGCACAGACCTGGGCAGGGCAGGGCACCCACCCCACCACACCCCCTGACCTGATCCCACCCAGAGAAGCCCCAGGCCAGGGATGGTGGCAGGGGATGGACAGGGCTGGGACCTGCAGAGGGGCTGCCCTGCCTGGGGACAGGGTGGGTGCCCAGCCCTGCAGCTTCTGCTCTGCTCCCTGGGTCCAGCCTCCCCCTGTGGGTGCTGGAGGTTGGCAGGGCAGCTGCAGCAGCAGGCTCTGTGTTTACCTGCTCCCAGTCTGCTGCACCACCCCTGGGCCCTGCAAGGGTGAAGCTTTTCCATGGGCATGAATCCCAGCGTGGTGGGGGTTGGAA